AAAGAACTCTCGCTAGACCAGGTTTCCTCGCAGAGACGTCTTTGGGGAAGTATCGTACCTTAAATATTGAAGACACCAATTCTGTTAGGTGTCCTTCAGCTGTGGGGAGAGGAAAAGGCCATGTCTGAACGTGTGAACATCCACAAAGAACAGAAGAGCAAGCACAGCTCATGGTGGTTTCATCCGTTTTATCCCTTGGTTAAGCAAAGTTCAACCCCCTGATTTTTTATCCTTTATTCTCCGTTTCTTTTTTTGGGATTACCACTTGTTTTCCTTTTCAAAGTAACCATTTTTAATCCTTCTATATCCCTTTTCACCTCACATCCTTATATCACCAAATCTTCTTGCTTTTTATTATCTAAAAGTCCTATTCTGTCCTCCAACCCACCATTCTATTTCTAACAATTGTAACTTTTATCTTTCCTTATCTGCCATTCATCTCTGACTGCCCAGCACATTATCCAGTACATAGTAGGCATTCAGTAAGTGAACCCTTCTACCCACCTCTCACTTGTGAAACATATACTCTTAATGACCTCCTCCCTAAAACTTCCACCTCTTTCCATTGCAAACAGAAATTTATCTTAATTCTCAAGGCTCCCCATGTCTCAGCCCCTATTATGTCCTTCCTGTATCCTTGACCATCTTAGCTCTGCAGTTATCTTTCCTTTCTTCCCTTATCCTGAGGCATCCTTCAACAGTGCCACTCAAGATAGTAAGACTTGGGGATAGAGCGACGTCATAAAATCCCTTTACTCTCCACCTCCATACACACACACAAAAGGTGGTGGCGTGGTGGGGGTTTGATGCCTAAGCGTGAACACTAAACCCGTCTAGCCTAGGAAGAATAATCTCCCTTGGTCCACCAATATTCAACTTGTTCTAGGGCAGTACAAGGACAGAACTGATCCCAGGTGACAGCAAACTTCCAGTCTGTACTGGGCAATGATACAAGTGATGATTTAGCTACTTAACAGGTAGAGAAAGAGTAGGATTTAGTGTTTTAGACTTAGGTGTGCCTTAATTAAGGGTTAACACGACTATCTCTTATTGAAGAGCTATCTCTTATTGAAGAGCATGACTCTACCATTGGAGAGGACTGGGCTGTAAAAAGGGGGAACAAAGGAAAGTAAACATTCCTACAGTGAACCCAAATTTTGTCAAAGTTCTCAAGTCTGGAAGAAACACTAAAAATTTTCAAGTTACTGATGTCCTGTACTGTAAAAGAATTTTAAGTTTTGACTCCCTGTTTCTCTAGACCAAGGGTTGGCAAATTATAGCCCACAGGTCAAATCAGGCTCACCGCCTGTTTTGGTATGTCCCATGAGCTAAGAATGATTTTTACATTTTTAGATGGCTGAAAAGTAATCAAAATAGAATATTTTGTGATGTGAAAATTATATGAAATTTGAATTTGTGTCCATAAAGTTTTATTGACTCATAGCCATACTCATTCATTTATGCATTATCTATGGATTCATTTGCACTATAACAGCAGAACTGAATAGTTGTAATAGAGACTGTATGGCCTGTATGCCTAAATATTTGTTACCTGGCCCTTTATAGAAAAAGTGTGCTGACCCCTGCTCTGAAAAAGCACTGTCCAATAGAACTTTTTGCAATGATGGAAATGTTCTATATTTTCACTATCTAATTCGGAAGTCACTAGTCACATGTGGCTATCTGAGCACTTGAAATATGGTTAATGTGACTGAAGAACTGAATTCTTAATTTCATTTAATTTAAATAGCCACATGTGGCTAGTGGCTACCATTTTAGACAGTACAGATCTAGACTCTTCTCAAATCTTCCGTACTGACATTCTTTGCCCCTCATCCCAACATCTTACACTCTCTTCGTGTGACACACTCCTTCGTGGATTCTCGATCCCACCCCTCGCCCCTCCCCAGCCCTATTTACCTGACCCAAGCTAGGGTATAGCATTATTAGGTTTTCTTTCTGGACTCTCCATTGTCACAACTGAAATCTGAAATCTAGTCCGTTTATCAAGTTTCACACCATGAATGAATCCACATTATGTGGAAACCCATAAATGGACAGACATTTACACAAGTTGCTTTGTGTCAGAGGATGGCATTGTGGCTATGTTCTTTCTTGTCTGCATGAGAGAAGTAGAAAAGCCCTCCACATGCTGGATCCCTTGTTACTGCTGGGGCCTGTGATATGGATCACCTCCTTCCAAACACATTCACAGAAGCTGAGAACAGCAGATGTGTACTTGCTATTTGAATCTTAAGGAAAAAAAATCCTTCATCACAGGATTTTCATTCCTCCCCTCAGGCCTAATAAACTGAAGTTAGCTGATTTCTTTAGCTTAATAGATGCTTGCTTTTTTACTGGCCTTTTCTAGCTGGGCAAAAGAACAACCCCCATACTGTCTTGATCTTGGCTAAGAGCTCTAGCAAAGGCATTAAAAAATTTTTTACCAGGGGCTGGCCCCGTGGCCGAGTGGTTAAGTCTGTGCGCTCCGCTGCAGGCGGCCCAGTGTTTCGTTGGTTCGAATCCTGGGCACGGACATGGCACTGCTCATCAAACCACGCTGAGGCAGCGTCCCACATACCACAACTAGAAGGACCCACAACGAAGAATATACAACTATGTACTGGGGGGCTTTGGGGAGAAAAAGGAAAAAATAAAATCTTTAAAAAAAAAAAAAAATTTTTTACCAAACTAAATGAAATCCACATAAATAGGCTTTAGTAGAGACAGTAGTTAAAATGGAAAGAGATTAAGGGTTATAACTCATACAAGCCATAACTTTGTAATTATTTGTAAAAGTAATCTTTAAAGTCTAAATTTCTCACACCTACTCCCTAAGAAAAAAATGAGTGTCTATAAACTTCCAGCTTAAAAAGAAAGGAAAGGACACCTAGTTCTCTTTCTCCAGATTAGCTATACAGCAAACCAAAAAACCCCTTACTCCAATCCAAACATCTGACTACAAGGCCAAAGCCTCTTAAATCCTGACAGAGAAAGTCTCTGGTTTCATATATATCCTACTCGGAGCTTATATAATTCAGTCTAGGTGCTGCTTAGAAAAACGAAAACAAAAACGCTGAATCCTTTAGCTACTATACATATTGAGAGCCACTGAATCCAACCATCCAAAAGGGGGCGCAGATATTTATGCTGCAAAAGAAAACCAGCTCAGTAATGTGAAACTTCCCTCAGGCCAAGCTGTCCCAGAGTTACAGGGTCAGTGCAAAGTGTTGTAAAGTACTGAAAGGCTATTCCTCAGCGAGTTTGTACTCAGGCTGCTAAGATTTTCCACTAGGCCTTAAATTACGCTATTCATCACGAGCAACTGAGGGCCATCTACCCCCAGGTCTCTCCCACACTTCCTCCCCGGTGTCTCTGCAAATAAAAGAGAGACCTTATACCACTACCACGTGAACTAAAGACAGGCTTTCACAGTCTAACCATGAAAAGGAGAAGTTTCCAAGTTACTCTGCCATTTACTCATGTGGCTCCAGCTGCATATTTTGGATGCTGAAGTGGGTTCTTGTGAACTTGCAAAGTTCTTGTAAACTTTCTTATCACAGCACACAAAATGGTTGCATAACCTGAACTCTTGCAGCTCCTGATGTTTTTCTCTGGGCATGCACACACAACCTGTCCAGGTGGAAAAATCAATCCAGACTCCTCTGTGCTCAGGCACAGGAAAAGGCAGATAAACTTTTTTGTGCTCCCTAGATTCTTCACCTCCTACCTTTCAGTTTTATTTTGGTATTAAGAAAACCAAACAATTCTAGCACAGAATTCAAGGTGCTACTGCTTGGTAAACTATTAACTGCACAGTGAACCCAGTGTGGCTTCATTAATCGTGGTAAGGTCTGCAGGAGGCCAGAGAGAGACGTTTTTTTTTCCCCTAAAGAAGTGCCATTAGCTGTTCTTTCCACTTTCTCTACAGAAGTTGAACAGGAAAAGAAAGAGAATACTGCATGTTTGCATCACCAGAACAAGAATCGGGTGGATTTTCCCGGGGAATCCAGAGTGATCAGGCCGCGCAAAACCAGTGCCTAGAGCTATGCAACAAGCAGGGTTCGCAGTTGAGTGAACATCAATGCATAATGAGTGGAGGCATTTCGATGCAAATAAATGCTGAATATGAAGGATTAAAGAAAGGGGAAATTAATCTTTTTCATAACACAGGGCACTTTTTTCCTCTCACTCGAGCTCTCTTTTTTAAGTCATGCACACAACTGCTGGAGGGAATCCAACTTCCCCAGTGTGGTGGTGGTGCTTTATAAAAAGCAGAACATACACATTTAAGACCATGAATTTCCTGAGGATGCCAGCCACTGAGATTCTGACAGCTCTTCTGAGCAGCCCCAGAAAAAATGTGATTCACTAAGTTGGGCCAAACTGACTAGTAAAAATCTCATTTCAAACTAACCTCCTACTTTTTCCAAAGCTCATCGCTTCCTAGGGTATGGATGGCTTAAAGGGTTTGGTTTCAGCATTTGGGGGTATTTGGATGCATTTACTGAAGGGATTTTATTTTTCAGTTTGTTTCTAATTGCCCCATCCAAGTGATGCTTTTGCAATACCAACAAAATAAATAGGGCAGTTTCATGCTGCTTTAGCAGGTGGCTCCATCTCCTTCTAGTCTGATCCTCTTATGTCCTAATGTCTTAAACCAGAGAACAAAGTGGCAGCATCTCTTTAGGTTATCCCTTCCAAAAAAAAATCTGCCAATGGAGGTTATTCAGCTTTTGAACACTGTTCACTTCAAGAGATATTGGACTGGAGCAGAAAACTTGTTAAAAACCTTTGTGTCCCATCACAGGTTTGTATTAAACACAGGATTCCTCAAACATCCTGATATGAAGCTTTAAAATTCAAGTGGTCCCTCAAAAAATCGTTAACCAAGGTTAAGAATTTTCCTAACCACAAATCCAAGCCTCAGAGAGGCAAGTAATTTCCAACTTGTTCCTTTCTCTTCTGAAACCATTCTGAGAAAAATGTCAAAGACCTAGAATTTTTAAAATAGGTTTTTATAAATAATGTATTCAAAGATTTTGACCCACCACAAGAAAAATATACAGATTTTGGAAAGAGTTTAAATTCTGAGAGGTTCAAGCCTGATCCAAGTCTTTAGATTTCTACTGCTTCAATTCCAAAGGACCAGTGGATAGCAATTTTAGTACACAAAACTCCACTATGCTGTGTAGTTCCTTTTCTCCTGGGTCAGACAGCTTTATTCTGCTTCATTAACCCCTTCTTTGCTCCTTGATGGATCTTGGAATCCAGTTTCCCTGTAAGGGAGAAAAAGAAGCTTCATTATTTATTTTTTATATTTGCAATGCAAATCTTTCGTGGCCTCCCCGGTCTTCTGGTTACTGTGTTCCTGTCACATTCAATTATCTTGCTTCAGGACTCAGACACTTTCAAACTTCAGAGTTTCATTCTGTAAGAATGAGGAAGCAGTGGGAACACTGTATAGGGACACACAAATGCGCGCACACAAACACAATGAGTATTTGCCTAAAGAATCTAAGAAGTTAATATTTCTGATTTTGTAGCTACTAGAAAAGAAATACCATGTTTTCCAGGGTGTCTGATGCTAAGGCAAGTTTTTTAAAGAATACAGACAAATAATAAAGGAAGGCATTTCACACAGTGGGAAACCCATTCCTCTGACCTGTTAGTGGCTTGAGCATAATGCATGAACCTCCCTCACAGTGAGAAAAGCAGTTCAACTCACTCCTCTGCTGCCTCAGACTTAACGGGGGGAGTGACCTGAAACAGTGGAGTAGAATTCACATGAATACTTTCCTGACAAAGGGCCCCTATCACCAGCTAAGAAGGGCAAAGGTCATAGGCTATATGACTCTTCTAAGTGTTAAAGTTAGAAAACAAGCAACCTTCCTGTCTCAGGTGACCCTAATGAGAGGTACTTCACCCTAATGATGTGGTCTGTGACCTCTGACTCCTCAGATCTACCAGGGTATAGTTTGCTTCAGTGGTACCAGCCTTAGGAGCCATCCATATCATGAGGAGAATCTTAGAGTTCCTGTCTGTCCGGCCTGAGAATGAGCTTGCAGGTTGCTTTCTTCCACAAAAAGTCTCATTTAAGCCAATAGCCATAGTGACGCTAGAAACAGTTCAGTTCAGCCTCACCACTAAAAAAAAGAAAAATAAATAAAACAAAACAAGGAACCTCCCTTCAAGGGCAGCCAGGTGTACTACAGGCCCACAACTACTGCAGCTCATATCTTGTCATTTTCATTTGTTGCAGCAATCAGGTGTAAGAGAAAGAGCACTGGACCAGAAGTCAGGAAACCCAGGTTCTAGTCCACCCTTGTCTGGTATTAACTGGCTGTACAACCAGGGGCAAGTCATTCAGTCTCTCTGCACTTCAATATCCTCATTTGTCCAACTAAGACAAGAATACATGTCCTAACTACTGCACAAGGAGATTGTGAAAAAAATAACCTCAACCTGGGGCTGGCCTGGGGGTGCAGCGGTTAAGTGCACACGTTCTGCTTCAGCGGCCTGGGGTTCACTGGTTTGGATCCCAGGTGCAGACATGGCACAGCCTGGCAAGCCATGCTGTGGTAGGTGTCCCACATATAAAATAGAGGAAGATGGGCACAGATGTTAGCTCAGGGCCAGTCTTCCTCAGCAAAAAGAGGAGAATTGTCAGCAGATGTTAGCTCAGGGCTGATCTTCCTCAAAAAAAACAAAAACAAAAACCTCAACCTAACAAGTTTCCCTGTTTTCTTAAATTTTTCTCTTCCTAATCTCTCTAGGGCTACACGTACCTCTGGAATAATATTACTTCCTTTTCTCAGGTTCCTCAGAAACCATCACTAAGTGATACCCTGAATGCTGTCCACAATAGTCACAATGGTGTTGATTTTAATTTTGGCTTTAGACCACAGAATATTCCCAGGGATTTACAAGTTCTTTCATCCTCCAGGCAGCCTGGCTGGAAACCCAAACATGTGCCAGCAATCTGACAGAGTCCTATTCCAAGGCAAGTTTGCCTTTGTATCCCTAACGCTACCATAGTGACTGCCAAATGGTAGGTGCTCAATAAATGTTTTCATCAAATGAATTAAACAAAGAAGGTAAACACTACAAATTTCAAAACCTTTACAATATAGGGACTACTAAGTAATCAAAAAGAGCAGATATAAACTTAAGAGTACCCACTGTAAAGGTGCTGGTACCCAGAGGTACCAGCATCTCATTCAGCTTTTTAGGATGAGCTAGGACAGAATTTAGAATTCCATTTAGGGCTCCATACTTCTAGTTCTCTAGATTGAATAAGTTAGAAGACGCAGGTCCCAGTTTTAGTCCTGACACTACCTAGTTGTATAACTCAAGGAAGTCACCTAATCACTCTTGCCCTCAACTTTTTTAAAGTTAAGAGAAAATTGGACTACATAGTACTGAAGGCCCCTTTCAGCTCTACGATACTGTACCCTAAAAATGAAATGTAAATTAGAATAATTTGTTTCTGAGGCAACCTGATAAAGTGAAAAGAGCAGGAAACTTAGAGGCAGAAAGAATTGAGCAAAATATAACTTCTGTAAACTGGTTCACTCAACTATAAAATGAAAGGAGGAAAAAAATTAACAAAGTTGTTGAGAGGATTTAGCTAACATTAAGTGCTTCCTATACACAAAGCACTGTACTAAGTATTGTATATTCATTAAGTCATTTTAATCAAATAACCAATTAAAATAATACACATATGTTAAATAAACTCAAAAAATATACATACATGCTTCATAAACTCAGGGTTCTCTGAAAAAGTCAGAGTAGTCGTATTATTTATGCTGAGGCTTGGGAGTTGTCTCTCTTAGTTATGGTCTCAGTTTTATGTTTAACTTACCATATAACTCTAGGCAAGTCTTTTAACTATATTTATTTCAGATTCATCATATTAACTTTAAAAAGACACACCTTCATCACACTCTTCCAAGAATAATTTTCAGAAAACTCCAGTCTGACTATGAAAGCCCTCAAGTGAGAGCAGCTCAGGTAAGATCAACCCATCTGAGCGAGGCACTCAATGGTAGGCAACCTCATCACCGGTTTCAGTGATGATGTCATAAAATGGAAAACTAATAAGAGGAAGGAGATAAAGAGGAAGAAGGATTTCCAAGGCATTCCCAGGTATTGGAAATTCTTTCATCCCCTGGGCTGCCTAAGAAAACCATATATGTGTACCAGCAATCTGTGAGCTCCTTACAAGTAAGGGCTTCTTTGCCTCCCTAACATCTACTACAGTGACTGCCAATAATGGCAATTCTTGGGCCAGCCGTGGACAAGCAATGAAGGCAACGGACTGAGCTTCTTGCATGAAGAAGCAGTCATCATAGCTGTCCTCAGATTGCAGGAACTCTGAACTCCGAGTTCTAATTCAGCCTGGTCTTTCAAGACTTGAGATCTGGAGAGTTAACTATGGTAACATACAGTGCACTCTCTTAAAAGCAGTGATAACGCTTAGTTTCTGTATTTCCCCAATATTTTTACATTTAGTACCTACAGCATTTTAGTGTTAAACCACATCCTCAATCATGGTGCCTAAAAGAAAATCTAATGCCTGTGCAGCAGACGGGTGAGAAGTTAAAAGGGGAAAAAGTATTTGTCATCAATTGATATAACTCTCGTAGGGATTTTCACATGCTTTGCATAAGATATAAGGTAGTATTTGCATGAGTTTATAGAGGATGTAGCTCACTTAGAGTAAAAAGATTTCCTTTATCTCTCTGAACATTCAACCTACATATTCTACTATACTTAACGCTTTTGCATTTCCTAATTTGAGCAGACACACAGCCAAGTGATATATAGCATATTGCTCTTTTCTAAATTATTTCAATTTCAAGAAACACAATTATTCCCAGATCAAGAAAGCTCAAGTTTATGTGTCCAGAAACATAAATCAAAATACATACCCTCAATTTAAGGCATATATATATACACATATACATGTGATACAACATGTAAATGGGTTGTATTCTAAAACTTTATTTGCAAGTCACAAGTTTGGCACTTGGACTATATCTCTTATAGAACTAATCTATAAAAGGTGGCTAGGTTCCTAGGCCATCTGATGAAAAAAAATTATTTAAGCCATAAGGCTGTAATTGGAGTACTAATATTATTAATACTATGCAACTTAACCACTTCATGTAACAATGTCTAGAAGAAAATGTGAAGCATTCCAAATTAAGAGCAAAGTGTAAACTATTGAAGGTGGCCCCTACGGCCTAAGGAAAGGAAGATCTGGCAGAGGGTAAGGTGTTTCAAGATGGTAAGGAGGAGTGAAGGATAAAGGAATGAGCAGTTATAGGTAATAGAAACTACATAACTTCCTACCAGACTGAGTCCTCAGGTAGGTTGGCTCCCTATCAACAGAAATTTTTTTCTAAGACACAGGGATTGGTGAACCTATTCATTCCTTTTTTTTTTTTTAATTTTCACTACCTCCTGTTTCTGACCAATGTTTTACTTGTCTAGTCTACCATGGAAGAAGTTGCAGTCTCACAATTTCTTTCTAGTCCTGGTGTCCCTGACATGAGCATACAGACCATTTTGTCTTTTCAAAACTTTTTCTTTTTTTTTTTCTGCTTTTTCTCCCCAAATCCCTCCAGTACATAGCTGTCTATTTTTTAGTTGTGGGTCCTTCTAGTTGTGGAACTTTTTAAAGCTTTTAACCAACAGAAACAATGGGGAAAAGACAGGTAATTAAAGCTTTCTCCTAAGAGTATCACTTCCCCCACCCCTATTAAAGCTTATGGAGATAAGGTGGGTCTCTGGGTAGAGAAAGTACTGAAGTAAAACACATCAGAGAAATATCTAAACTCTGTTTACACAGAACATTTTCTCACAGGAGCTTAAGCAGCCGATGAAAACCAAGATAGAGGAGGAAACTAAGAAAAGGCAACTGAGACTGAAAATCAAGTAGCAATGGGTCTGGGAGAGAAAATTTACGTTTTCCTCCTATGACCAGTGTTGCTATCAGTGCCTAAAGTAAGAGAAGAATAGAACAGAGTAGGAAGGAGTAGATTCCACAACCAAAAAACAGGGAAAGGAAAAGGGAGGTTTAAATCCTCAACAGTGGAGAAGAAGGAAAAGAATTTCTAGGGACACTTGGCTACTAGCTGGGGTACAGTCTGAAGTAAATGATTTGTAAGTCAAGGGCAACTTATGTTCAGATTTTCTGATTTGTCGGAATCTCAGGAATATGTGTCTCATAAATCACAAAGGTTGCCTGAATTTTGTAGTGAATATACGTTATCTAAATTCATACTCCAAGCATTTCATTTTGTGATCAAAAGCAGTTACTCAAAGTATAGTCAGCTGACCAACAGCATCAGTATCACTTGGGAGAGGGCCCAGGAACCTGTGTTTTAACAGCACTCTAGTGATTTTTATCTACATTAGTTTGAGAAGTACTTCTCTATGAACAGATTTTAAAAAGGCTAGTTGGTCCCCAAGGTACAGGGTGAGGTAGAGTTGTACACAGCTGAAGACAATGCATGCCCCAGAATCATCCATTCACATAGTAGGAAAGCAGTGTCACAGAGGCACACAACAGTAACTGACATGAACAAATGGGAGAACTGTTAATGCTGTGTTTAAAAGGAAGTTAGGCAGCGAGAACACCACTATATGTTTCTTGAGATTGCTTTGAAAGAGAAGAGGCTGCTGTAGGACTAGACAGAGGAAGAGAAGTTGGGAGTTGAAGGAGAGTTGAAAGTTGAAAGACTAAAGTCAACAAGCACCTCCTCAGAAGTGAATATGCAGAGGGTACTATAATCACAAATACATAACAGCAAAAGTCACAGAAAAAGAAATCATCAAGAAGTTTCAAAAAGAGGATGGAAAGCAAGAGGGCTAGGGTAGAGCTCTGGGAACCAGGGGAATGAAGGGAATAGTGGGAAGTGGTGCCTCTAAAATAGACACTCAAAAATAGACACTTAAAAAGTTAAGACTTATTCTTGGATTGAATACTGAGGAACAATGGATAAATGACAAAGTTGCCACTGGCACTGGCTTACTACCTCCTTTAAAGAGCAGTACAGCAGAGCAAAGCATACTCTCTTGGCTGACAAATAGGATTTTGAATGTAATGGGGTCCCAAATGAAGTTTAGAGCAAGTCACTAACATGCCAATAATTGTGGATCAAGGTACATTTTGGAAAGGCTATGCTGTAGTTAACCCAACATTAAAGTTATCAATAAATATATTACTCCTCCAACACTTGAGATACCATAGAACAGAGTAAATAGAGAACATTTTTAAAAAGTTAAACAAATGAGACGCAAGGCAAAAAGGAAAAAAGAAAATTAGGCCATCAAAGCCTGCGACTTACAGATTTTTGGATTTCCTTTAATAGGAAACTTCACAATCATTTCCTGTGGATTTGTGCAGATGAAAACAAATGGAGAATCAGATTCTTGACTCATGTCTGGATACTGTGAAATGTAAAAATAAAAAGTTCAGGCTAGTTGGGACAAATTTTGAATTTCAAGGAGATCAAAGGCTGTCCCAGATTTCACCTTAACATTCTGTTGATAGTACTCTCATTTCACAGTGAGGTAAAGAGGATTATGCTCAACAAGCAAGAACAAACATTCACCTTCCCCCAGGCCTTAGCACAGTATTCTTATACAGTCTATTGCCTGCCATTTCTGACTTCCTATAATGGGAACAACTTCTTAAAAAACGGATAACTGACATCTTCCCAGAAGAATCAGAACTGACTGTTCTTTCAACACAAGTGACTGTGAGTTGGGAGATTCGGAAGTCTCCATTAGGAGCATCGGGCATCCCCTAAGTTCAACTCAAGGAAACACTGGAAGACTTAAGAAAAATAGAACACTTGTGGAAATTCTGCCAGAAACAGTCAACAGAGCCCTTCTATCACTAAAGGGAAGGAAGATGATTCATTCTGAAAGGTATGAACATGCAAAAGCTGTTTTGCTGGATGTAGTCCAGACCTACTGAGGGTGAAAAGGTAACTGGTAGAGCAATTCTGAAAATTATTTAGAAGCCTTCTTTGGATCTCTTATCACAAACAAATCTGTGTGAATACTTCGGACTTTTATTCCTTCTGCAAAGACAGACACAGAACCTAGAGTAAGACTATGCTGGCCACACAATTACAACTTCAGGAATAACTGGGGGTTGGCAGAAAGTGCTCTCTAGCAATGTCCAACTGATTTAGCGTTTCCTTGTTTCCTGTCTTGGGTTGTCTTGTGTTTAGCATCTTTGACAAATATGACTCACAGGCTGACTATGACTACAGGTTAGACTTCATTACCAGAGGAACCTTTCTCCTAGTAATTAGGATCAAAAGTGTGAAATTATTTTCCACTCTTATTCATCTGCTAAGATGCGTCCTCTAAAGCTCTAAGGCTCTAAAGTAAAAACAGAGGTTTCAGTAAAATAAATAAGAAAATGCAAATTTATAACTAGTATAAGTATAAACAATTAAACTTCTTTACTGACCACTCTGTGCTACGTGGCAAGTAATGCTGTGAAGAAAACAGAAGAAATTTTTAGCAGCTTTTGGTCCTGCCCACATACCATGGCTTTCAGTGTGGGACAGGTGTGGCGTGTACTTTGATAAAACATAGCTTAATATCAAGTATCAGCCACAATTATATTCACAGGCAGGGTCAAAATATTCATGGTAGAAAAGAAAAACTAAGGATGATCCTTATCCCCTGGATCTTTAGAACAAAGAGAAGCAGGGTCCAGCTGTTACCGTGAGGCGCTTTGGCACAAATAAAACCAGAGGCTGCTATCAAAATCTTTAAACCTAATTCTACAGAGGCAAAAACAGCAGCAATCACAATCAAGATCTTAAATTTTTCTGCTCTCTCTTCTCTGTGTCAGAGTGTCAAGGCAGAGGACAATGCTGCCAGGACTTCATAGCTCTGCTTTTCCAAAACTACGAGCCATTTCAACCACTCTCTTCTTCCTTCCACATCAATAAACGTTTTCTCTCTACTGGATCAATCCCACTAACAAATGTACTTTCTGTAATGTCTTCCAGAAAACAAAAACTCTCCAGATCCCACATTCTCCTCCAGTTACTGTCCCATTTCTCGCAAAATTCATTAAAAGATTATCTGTACTCTCTGCCTCAAATTCTTCTCCTTCTATTTTTTCTTAAATTCACTATAAACAGGCTTTCGGTCCAATCACTCCACCAAAACAATTCTTGTAAAGGTCATCGTTCACTTCCATGTTACTAAATCAAATGGTTGATTCTCAGTTCTCATCTTAATTTATCTATTTGTGGAACTTGACAGAATTTTTCTCTCCCTCCTTCTTGAACACATTCCTCACTTGACTTCCAGGATACCATTCTCTTCCTAATTTTGCTCCTTTACTGACTACTCCTCATTTCCCCATCCTTTAAATGTTGGAGTGTTTTAGGGCTCAGGTCTCAGATCTCTTCTCTCTACATCCACAGTCTGGGTGATCTCCTTCAGTCTCAGAGTTAAAAAATAAGGTCCTGGATTTGAAACTATATGAGATGATGGATGTTACCCAAACTTATTGCGGTAATCATTACGTATCAAATCATTATGTGGTATACCTTAAACTAATACAGTGTTATATGTCAATTATATCTCAACAAACCTAGAAAAAAATAAGGTCCTGGAAATGCACATTAAAACCACAATAAGATACCACTTCACGCTCACTAGGATAGCAATTATAAAACAAAAACAAAAAACACGGAAAATAAGAAGTGTTGGTAAGGATGTGAAGAAATTGGAACCCTCATGCATTGCTGGTGTGAATGTAAAATGCAGCTGCTGTGGAAAACAGTTTGCTGGTTCTTCAAAAAGTTAAACATAGAATTACCATATGATCCAGCAATTCCACTTTTAGGCACATACCCAAAATAATTGAAAGCAAAGATTCAAACAGATACTTGTACACCCAGGTTCACAGCAGCCAATAGTTCCCACAATCCAAACGTCCATCAATAAATGATGGATAAACAAAATGTGGTATACACATACAAGGGAATATGATTCAGCCCTAAAAAGGAGTGAAATTTGGATACATGCTACAACATGATGAATCTTGAAAAATTATGCTAAGTGAACTAAACCAGACACAGAAAGACAAATATTGTATGATTCTAGTTATATGAGGTACTTAGAATAGGCAAATTCAGACAGAAAGTAGAACAGAGGTAATTAAGGGCTGGGGGGAGAAGTAAGAAGGAGTTATTATTTAATGGGTACAGAGTTTCTGTTTGGAATGATGAAAAAGTTCTGGAGCTGAATAGTGGTGATGGATGCAGAACATTGTGAATTTACTTAATGCCACTGAATTGTACACTTAAAAATGGCTAAAAAGGTAAGTTTTATGTTATGTATATTTTACCACAATAAAAATAAAACAAAATAAAAATCAAGGTCCTGAATTTCCTTTCCAAAGCTGCTCCTCTCTTATTCATACCATTTAAAAATAAATAAATAGCTATTCCATCCTTCTAGTTCAGGCCAAAAACCCTACAATCAACCCATTGGGAAATCCTGTCAACTCTACCTTCAAAAGATATCCAACATCTCACCACTTCTTAGGACCTCCACAGCTATTTCCCTGGTCCAAGGCATCATGTTTCCCTGGATTAGCACAATAACCTCTTAATTGGTCTCTCTGTTTCTGCCCTTAACCCCCTTCTTGTCTATTCTCAACACAGCAGCCAGAGCTATTTTTTAAAAAAAATATCAGATCATGTCACTCTTCTGTTCAAAACTCTCCATTGGCTCTTCATCACAGTCAGAATAAAAGCCTAACTCCTCACCATGATCTACAGGCCCTGGAAAATTTGGCCCCCCATTTCTTTTCTGATGCCTTTTCCTACTAGTCCCCCCTACCCTCTTTTCACTCCACTGCAGCCACACTGGCTTCCTCGTGGTTCTGCCTCTGGGTCTTTGCACTTGCCTATTCCTTCTTCCTGGAATGCTTTCTCCCCCAGATACCCACATGCTTCCCCTCTCTCTTTCTTCAGGACTTTAAATGTCAACTTCATAGTGAGTCTTCCCTGATCATTCTATTTAACATCAGAGCACCAATCTCCTCACAAACCTGGCCCTCTTAATCCCCCCTCCTACTTTATTTTTTTTCTACAGCACTTACTACCATCTGATACTATATAATTTACCTAATTCAGTTTTTTAATTTGGCCTCCTTTTACTAGGATGAAAACCCCAAGAAGGCAGGGATTTTTGTCTGTTTTTGTTCTCGGCACCTGGAATCATGCCTAGCACATAGTAGGCAGCCAATAAATATTTATTGAATGAAAGAACAATGAATTTACCAATTTGTGCAAAGACGCTATCGGGCTTTTTTCTTTTTTTCCTCTTCTTCTTCTTCTCCCCAAAGTCCCCCAGTCATAGTTGTATATTCTAGTTGTGAGTGCCTGTGGTTGTGCTAGGTGCAACGCCGCCTCAGCACGGCCTGATGAGCGGTGCCATGTCCGCGCCTGGGATCCAAACCAGCGAAACCCTGGACTGCCAAAGCAGAGCATGTGAACTTAACCACTCGGCCATGAGGCCAGCTCCTGTGAGGTTATCTTAACGATGCTGAATATGCACATACTGGGAACTGGACACTTTCAGCTCTATAATGCTGGGTAAAAGCAGGTGCTACTCTGTAATCTGTTATCCCTCAAGCTAAATTAGAATTTTTGTGTCGTGGCAAGCGGCCAATAGGCCCTATGTTTAATAAAAACTACCCTGACGTATATTAACAGAGTAAGCAAATGTTAAATAATGGCAAAAGTGATGGATAAATGAAATTAGAGAACAAGAGGTTCCTTAAACCCATTCATGCTTCACAATAAAGATAAACACAATATTAACTTTCCCAACTGAATCTAAATCCAAGTTTCGTGTGAATATCCATTTTCCCAAGCTCTATTACTGAACTTCAGGAGGCTTACAAGAAACAGAGCTAAAGAGCAAAGCAGCCTACAAGGAATAAAGAAAAGTAAGGCCTAGGCATTGGGGTAAGAGATTACTTTTCATGGTAAAATGCATTAAAGCAAAGTCAGCTTGGCAGAGCCTCAATACTTCCAAAACAGCATAACCTCTGCAACCGGGGCCTTGACACTATGGACCACAGTAAACACTAACAAGTGAGAGACTCACAAGAAAGGGACTTTTGGCCTGAGAGTCAAAAAACTAGAATGCAGTTGACCCTGAGAAAGTAAATTAAGAGAAGGGCGGCTTGTATTTATGAAGAATGTGGATAAACTCTGGATGTCATATCCACTTTAGACAATAGACAGGTTAGGGAATGTGGGTTATAAGATCAAGCAATTCAAAGCAACCATTCACATTCAGTAACAGACTCCTCAGGAAGTTGCTGCGGTTCTCGCCTTACCACAACATGACTCCTATCACCTGGTTTCCAGCCTGACGAGCAAGGGAAGTGGGCC